TATTCACTATTGTGTTTTGAATTTATGGAATGAATCAATGAATGGAAATGGATAAGTGTGAGAAAATCCCAAGTGTGCTGAAAAACATTTTATAATATTTGAAAACTTTCTATTCAGATATTCATTATAGTTCTAACAACAAATTTTGAGCTCAGCAGCCAAAATATTACTAAAAACTTTTCCGTTGGTAGAAAGTTAATTGTGTTTTACTGGCTTTGTTGAATATCTCCGTACCCCAGGTATAGTGGGGATGACAAATACTCAGGAGAAGAGGGCAGGAGGGAAGTGTGACCCTGACGCAGACTGCATCAGGGCCAGATTGCTTCCACACGAGTTTTTCATAGCACAATAAATAACTCATCAGATTACCTGAATCATAGTGACCCGGAGAAAACCCTTGTAGTTTTTGAATGATCGCCAGATAATCCACCTGAGCTGATGCCAGAAGGAGGTGACACATGTGATCTCCTGGAAGGCTGAGACACTCTCCACCCTCTGTTCCCCTGAAAGTTGATCCAGAGCAGCTCTTGTATTTTCGTATAAGGAGGACTGAGCATAAAACTCAGCTAATTTTTCTGTGACTTGGTTTTCTCTCTTGAAAAGCTCTTTATGTTCATTGTCTTTGGAATAAAAGTGGATAAAGACGAGAGACACAGTTAGCAGACAGCATATTATTTAACAGGTTTTTCCAAGACTCTTTACTTGAAGAACACCTAAATTCTGAGTCTTTTTGTTTTCTGTAATTTGCTTTGTAGCCAAGGATTACCTTGATCTTCTGGTTTTCCTACATTCACCTTCCAGATGCTGGGATTACAGGCATGCACCATTACACACAGTTGATGCTAGGGATCAAACCCAGGGTTTCTTACATGCTAGACAAGCCCTCTACCAGCTGGGCTACATCTTCAGCTCACTAGATTTTGAGCATAAAAATTTCTTGCTATGGCATTCCTTTATATGTTAGAAAAATAGGTAATTGACATAATTACTGTCATCATCTTATAAATAGAGCAAATCCAATGTTTTTTTTT